CGAGGACAAATTACTGAGGAGGGAAGATTGGACATGGGAGTCCGTAGGAGAGGCAGTATAAAGACCAGAATAGAAAGAAGCAAGAGAGGCACAGAGAGCAGCAGGAGAAGAGACAATTGAGCCATCAGGCTCTCTCAGCGCAGAGATACGACGGTCAGAGGAACGTTTCTTCTCTAGACGGAGGAAATACTGCGAGGAGGACTCACCCTCCTCAACCAATTTAACTCTCGCTCGTACCTGAGCCCCCCTCGCAGCATGGGAGTCAAAACGAGCGAGCTCAGAAAGAGCCGACCGCAGAGGGTCCACACAAGAAGTGACACCCAAATCGACTCTCTCCTGAAGATGTTGGACAAGGCGTACCAAGGCGTCTCTGCATGCAGAGTTTTACGGGCTTTGCTCGCACAAAAACGAATGGCGAGGCCGTTGATCAGGTTTTTCCCTTTATCACACCATTTAGCGAGAGAGGGAAAGCGGGGGATGGCAAGACGCCAAGTGGACCATTCTTCACGAACAAGTTGGGAATAGTCTTGGTCTTCCAGAATTGATGTGTTCAATTTCCAGTAACCAGGGCCAGGTGGAGCGACGTCGGGAACAGACACAGAGAGATACAAGCCACGATGGTCCGAGAAAGGACAGACATACACAGAAAGAGAGGACACTGATGGGAGCCACGCGAACGGGACCCCAAACAGGTCAATACGCGACGCCAAACTGCCGTCCCACCTAGTCGAGGTGAACCCCGGAGAGGAGGGGTGAAGGTACCACCATATGGCGGTGACACAACATGCATCGAAAAGATGGCCAAGAGAAGAGGAACTGTCTCTAGGAAGGGAGGCGGGGTCTGGACCACGCCGATCTCAAGCCCGGTCAAAAACGGCGTTAAAGTCACCAGCAAGGACCGTTGGTGTTGAAGGGTCAATCTTTGAATGTAAACCATCGAGGAATTGATCCCGTGCAGGGTTGCGATTGGGGGCATAGACACAAACGACCCTAAAGACCTTATTGTGAAAAGAGAATTCACATTGCAAAAAGCACCCATCAGCAGACCAAGAATTAAGAAGGGAGATACAAGGACGATAAAGAATAACGCAACCACAAGAATGGACAGAGCCAGGAGCTAGCACAGAAGAGAAGCCAAAGGAAGAGAACCACAACGAACACTCAGCCGGAGTAACACAGTGCGTTTCTTGAAGGCAGACAACATCAGCCTTCACCAGGAGAGATCGCAACCACTGCACGAGGCCAATCCTTTTAGACTGGTCTCGGATACCGTTAACATTTAAAGTAAGGATGGAAAGAGCCATCACAATGTATGAAAGAGCCATCACTACTTTTTCTTGGCATTACGGATTGCATTAACCCTAGCGACAGCCGAGGGGCCCATGGGCACGAGAGGAGTGCTTGGGGTCCTCTTAGCTGAACGGCGTTGAGGGGTCGAAGAGGTGGAAGGCCTTTTGCGTTGACCAGAGGCCGGTGACATATCGATATCCTGAGAATTAACTATGGATTCCCAGTCATGGGAATCGTCTACATTAATTAAAGTAGTGTTTACACTATTTGCATTAGGTGCGTTTGTATTTTGTACATTAATGGTATTCCCATTATCTAGATTAAGTTCACTATTGCCAGCGCCAGCATTATTATTAACCAGTTCACTATTTGTATTAACTATTTTACTATTTGTATTAACTATTTCACTATTTGTATTAACTATTTCACTATTTGTATTATTAAGGGTATCAGCATTACTCACAATACCCTGTGCAACTGACGATGTGACACTGCTGGCCTCATCCAAATCACTGAAATGACTATCGTACAATTTTATGGACTCCGAGGGGTCTGGGTCACTGGGGGGTAAGCCAGCACCCTGACCAGACACAACAACAGCAGGTGAGTTCATCTCAACTTCATTTAGGAGACCTTGAGAATTGAGGATAGGTTCTTCAATCTCATCAGTGGCATCCGGAACCGGGACTTCACTACATTCAGTATGTTCAGGATCAGGGGGGGTGGGGTCATCAGTGTTGGCGTCCCCCCCTGTGACAGGGGCGAGAATAACTTCCTCAGTGGTCTCCGCTAACGAGGCAGGGTTTGCCATGGCAGTGTCAGAGATATCCTCAAAGTCGTTACCCATAGCCTCAACATTAGGAGCGGCAGGAGCTGGGATCTGATTCCAGGCCTTGTCACAATCACGAGCAAAATGTCCTTCCTTATGACACCGTAGACACTTGCCCCTATCAGGGCATGCAGAAGACTTCTGCCCGATCGCTCGACAAATGTCGCAGCGGAGGGGTTGACCACAGTACCAAATTTTGCACCGAACCCCATTAATAGATACAAAACGGGGGATTTCCTTAGTACGAACCATTCTCACATCTCTTGAACCTGTTGACACATCAGGCAAGCCAGGCCAAACCTGGTGTCTGACAGATTTTACAATTCCATAACCTGACAGCGCTGTTGCTACAGTGTCGTTTGACCACTCAAAAGGGTACCAAGATACTACAATGGTACTATACTGAGGAGGTGGGGGGGGAGGCGACAATACTCGGCACTCGACCCCGTTAAGTACCACAGAACCCAGATCTTCAAAAAACAATTTGCTACACTTTCAGTAAAGGTGACCCTAGCAATACGGCCAGGACACTCTTGAATAGAGAGGACCTTATGTTGAGACTCTACTAGAAAGTAAGCATTGATATATTTCACCACATCAGATTGCAAAGTTCCATTCGGGAAGCCATTGCACCGAATATCAATGGTTTTTTCCAGTGGTGGAGCCATGGAAAAGAAAAAAGGAGCAAAAGGGCAAAGCCCAGAAAGCCCCAAACGGCCAACCCAGCAAGTTCGGACCCAACCAAAAAAGAAAAAAATTGGATGGGTGACCAAACACGAAAAAGAAAAAGGAGCTGCAAAGCTTTCCCTCCCGGCAGGTACTCACAAGTGCAGAAATGAGAAATAGCAAAATACTTACGATTATCCTGACCAGAATGATCACCAGAATGATCACCAGAATGATCACCAGAAAAAATACAATTTTTTGTATAATTAGTCGTGGACATGCTGTTTTTGATCTGTGCGATTCTGCTCCTTTCAAGCCTTTCCCCAAGTCCTCCTCACAGAAATAGTTCAAGAAATGAGTATCTAACATCATGCTCTCCAGCATGTCAATTTTTGGCTTTGGAATTTGGAATGGTTCGTCTGCAAAAAGGATTTTTTGGTTTTCGACCTTGGATTGTGCAATGGTTTTCTACATCCACTCTTTGTATTTCAAACAATGGTTACTACAAGCCTGGTGGAATTCTGCATTCATCAACACTTCTTTGTGACACTGTGCCTTGTGAAGTGCGAAGCAATTCAATTCAACCTCGTACTATTCGTGCTTCCTTTGTCTCATTAGACAATCGCTGCTCTGTACCATTATATAAATTCAAGAAAAAATGGTTCAAGAGTAAAATCTCTTATTATTCCAATAGTTCGTCAACTTTTAATTTTTTGGAATTATCAGTCTTGCTTAGCGGTGATGTTCATCCATTGCCTGGCCCGGAGAATAGGAAATCTATTTCAGTTCGTATCTCTCAACGTACGCGACGTCGCCATGGTAACCATCACGCGGTGAAAAATAATCACAAAAGATCTGAAGTCCGTACCATCATTAATATTCCAACTATTTCAGAACAATCTCCTAACGTCAAAAATCATCTTAGGCTCTGCTGCTTGAATGCTAGATCAATTAAAAACAAATCTGCGGATTTTGTTTGCTATGCAGCATCCACCGGTGCGGACATTTACATATTTACAGAAACATGGTTGACGGAACGTGACATGGCACATAGAGCTGAACTTACTCTGCCTGGTTTCAAGCTGCTCGATCAACCGCGTCTTGGAAGGACTGGTGGTGGACTTGCACTCTTAATAAAGAGCGGCATAGATGCCAAGAAAATGGACGGTGGTGAGCGTAGATCTTTCGAATTTTTTGAATGGACTCTGCGTTATGGTTCAAATAGCTTGAGAATTGCTGTCATCTATCGTATACCATATTCTCAAGCCCATCCAGTCACCACTAGTGTTTTCTTTGATGAATTCATAACTTACCTCGAGTCGATCATCATGTCTCCTGAGCCGTTGCTGATAACGGGTGATTTCAATATTCATGTCGACGTACATACTGACTCTGATGCTTCTCGTTTTCAAGATTTACTATCGTCTATGGGCCTTCAACAGCACGTGGATAAATCTACACATATATCTGGGCACACCTTAGACTTAATGATTACTCGTTGCTCGGATTCATTTCTTACAGCCAAACCTATGACTGACTACTTGTTTTCAGACCATTTTACTGTTCTTTGCGATCTTGCCTTAAGTAAACCATCTCCCAAAAATGAGCAAATATCATATAGAAAACTGAAGGCAATCAAGATTGAGGATTTTAAACAAGATCTGTCTACCTCTGAGCTTTGTAATTACAGTCCAGATTCGCTTAACGATCTCGTTGAATGCTATAACGATACCTTGTCCCAAGTGCTCGAGAGACATGCTCCACTTCGATCCAAAGTTATACGATCTCGACCTCTGGTTCCTTGGTTCAATGAAGATATAAAAAATGCCCGCCGTGAAAAACGGAAAGCAGAAAGAAAATGGCGACGCTCTGGCAAACACGACGATATGTTGTCATACAAAAAGATCAAGAATACGACAAATCGATTAATGAACGAAGCTCGAAGCCAATACTATCATGACTTCATTAATGATAACAGTTCAAACCAAAAAAAGCTCTTTGCAGCTGCGAATACTCTTTTGAATCAAAGGAAAAAGAACACTGTGCTACCACCTTGCGATGATAAGCTTGAATTAGCTGATAGGATGGGCTCGTACTTTGTTCAAAAAATCACTGATATTGGTACAAGACTCGACGTTATGGCTCAAGATCTTTCCACTGACCCGCTTTTAAACTGTACATTGTCACCAACCCCCAAATTTAGTAAATTTACAGCACTTTCTGAACTCGAAGTACGGAAACTTATCGAAGGTAGCGCAAAGAAAAGCTGTTCTTTTGATCCGATGCCTACCTCACTGGTTTTTAGCTGCATTGATGTCCTGCTTCCCGTGATCACAAAAATGATAAATCTATCCCTCGTGGATGGTGTGTTTGCTGATGTCTGGAAATGTGCACTTGTTAAGCCGTTGCTCAAAAAAGCTGGTCTTGATCCACTTCTTAGTAACTACAGACCTGTTAGTAATTTGCCATACATATCGAAGCTCACCGAAAAGGCGGTGTATAATCAACTTCATTTACACATGATAGACAATTCTGTTTATCCAGAAATGCAATCATCTTACAGAAAAGGACATAGTACCGAAACAGCGCTTCTTCGGGTTGTTAACGATATCTTAATGAAGATGAATTCACAAGANGAAATGAGTATCTAACATCATGCTCTCCAGCATGTCAATTTTTGGCTTTGGAATTTGGAATGGTTCGTCTGCAAAAAGGATTTTTTGGTTTTCGACCTTGGATTGTGCAATGGTTTTCTACATCCACTCTTTGTATTTCAAACAATGGTTACTACAAGCCTGGTGGAATTCTGCATTCATCAACACTTCTTTGTGACACTGTGCCTTGTGAAGTGCGAAGCAATTCAATTCAACCTCGTACTATTCGTGCTTCCTTTGTCTCATTAGACAATCGCTGCTCTGTACCATTATATAAATTCAAGAAAAAATGGTTCAAGAGTAAAATCTCTTATTATTCCAATAGTTCGTCAACTTTTAATTTTTTGGAATTATCAGTCTTGCTTAGCGGTGATGTTCATCCATTGCCTGGCCCGGAGAATAGGAAATCTATTTCAGTTCGTATCTCTCAACGTACGCGACGTCGCCATGGTAACCATCACGCGGTGAAAAATAATCACAAAAGATCTGAAGTCCGTACCATCATTAATATTCCAACTATTTCAGAACAATCTCCTAACGTCAAAAATCATCTTAGGCTCTGCTGCTTGAATGCTAGATCAATTAAAAACAAATCTGCGGATTTTGTTTGCTATGCAGCATCCACCGGTGCGGACATTTACATATTTACAGAAACATGGTTGACGGAACGTGACATGGCACATAGAGCTGAACTTACTCTGCCTGGTTTCAAGCTGCTCGATCAACCGCGTCTTGGAAGGACTGGTGGTGGACTTGCACTCTTAATAAAGAGCGGCATAGATGCCAAGAAAATGGACGGTGGTGAGCGTAGATCTTTCGAATTTTTTGAATGGACTCTGCGTTATGGTTCAAATAGCTTGAGAATTGCTGTCATCTATCGTATACCATATTCTCAAGCCCATCCAGTCACCACTAGTGTTTTCTTTGATGAATTCATAACTTACCTCGAGTCGATCATCATGTCTCCTGAGCCGTTGCTGATAACGGGTGATTTCAATATTCATGTCGACGTACATACTGACTCTGATGCTTCTCGTTTTCAAGATTTACTATCGTCTATGGGCCTTCAACAGCACGTGGATAAATCTACACATATATCTGGGCACACCTTAGACTTAATGATTACTCGTTGCTCGGATTCATTTCTTACAGCCAAACCTATGACTGACTACTTGTTTTCAGACCATTTTACTGTTCTTTGCGATCTTGCCTTAAGTAAACCATCTCCCAAAAATGAGCAAATATCATATAGAAAACTGAAGGCAATCAAGATTGAGGATTTTAAACAAGATCTGTCTACCTCTGAGCTTTGTAATTACAGTCCAGATTCGCTTAACGATCTCGTTGAATGCTATAACGATACCTTGTCCCAAGTGCTCGAGAGACATGCTCCACTTCGATCCAAAGTTATACGATCTCGACCTCTGGTTCCTTGGTTCAATGAAGATATAAAAAATGCCCGCCGTGAAAAACGGAAAGCAGAAAGAAAATGGCGACGCTCTGGCAAACACGACGATATGTTGTCATACAAAAAGATCAAGAATACGACAAATCGATTAATGAACGAAGCTCGAAGCCAATACTATCATGACTTCATTAATGATAACAGTTCAAACCAAAAAAAGCTCTTTGCAGCTGCGAATACTCTTTTGAATCAAAGGAAAAAGAACACTGTGCTACCACCTTGCGATGATAAGCTTGAATTAGCTGATAGGATGGGCTCGTACTTTGTTCAAAAAATCACTGATATTGGTACAAGACTCGACGTTATGGCTCAAGATCTTTCCACTGACCCGCTTTTAAACTGTACATTGTCACCAACCCCCAAATTTAGTAAATTTACAGCACTTTCTGAACTCGAAGTACGGAAACTTATCGAAGGTAGCGCAAAGAAAAGCTGTTCTTTTGATCCGATGCCTACCTCACTGGTTTTTAGCTGCATTGATGTCCTGCTTCCCGTGATCACAAAAATGATAAATCTATCCCTCGTGGATGGTGTGTTTGCTGATGTCTGGAAATGTGCACTTGTTAAGCCGTTGCTCAAAAAAGCTGGTCTTGATCCACTTCTTAGTAACTACAGACCTGTTAGTAATTTGCCATACATATCGAAGCTCACCGAAAAGGCGGTGTATAATCAACTTCATTTACACATGATAGACAATTCTGTTTATCCAGAAATGCAATCATCTTACAGAAAAGGACATAGTACCGAAACAGCGCTTCTTCGGGTTGTTAACGATATCTTAATGAAGATGAATTCACAAGAGGTCACTCTTCTTGTCATGTTGGATCTTAGTGCCGCCTTCGACACTGTTAATCATGATATACTGATCAAACGTCTCCACGAAGAATTAGGTATTGCTGATTCTGCCCTGAGCTGGTTTGAGTCATATCTCCATAACAGGATGCAAAAAGTTGACATCGAGGGATCGATATCTAACCCATTCGATTTAGGCTGCGGTGTTCCTCAAGGGTCGTGTCTTGGACCGATTCTATTTATTATATATGCATCTAAGCTCTTTAAGATCATTGAACACGAGCTCCCTTGTGCTCATTGTTATGCTGATGACACCCAGTTATATCTGAGTTTTAAACCTAATACTACATCTCAAGACCAAGCCTTGCAAGCAATGGAGAACTGTATTGGAAAGATCAGGAAGTGGATGATTCATGATAGACTGTTAATTAATGATAGCAAGACTGAACTGATTTTAATAGGCTCAAAACAACAATTATCTAAACTACAGCCAATCAGTATCTCCGTTGGCAACTCGGTAATTAATAATAGCTCCGAGGTAAAAAATCTAGGCTGTTGGTTGGATGCTAACCTAAGCATGTCTAAGCATATTACAAATATTTGCAAATCTGCATTCTTTTATCTTCATAACATTAGAAGCATTAAGAAATATTTACACGAAGACAGTCTCCATACTTTAGTTCATGCGTTTATAACGAATAGATTAGATTATTGTAACAGTCTTTTGTATGGTGCCTCAAAGGAACTGATAGCTAAAGTACAACGTGTACAGAATGCAGCCGCAAGACTGCTATTGAACGTTGGAAGGTACTCGCATATTACTCCTATTCTATATGAGTTACACTGGCTTCCAATCCAGGCTCGCATTAAATTTAAAATTCTTCTACTTACTTTTAAAGCGCTTCATAATTTACTTCCGTCATATATTAACAGCCTCATATCTATTAAATCAAAATCTTCTTATTGTCTTCGATCTAATGACGGTCTTTACTTAGAGCCCCCTAAGGGTAAGATGCTGAAGACATTTGGTGATCGATCTTTTCAGGCAGCAGCACCATACTTATGGAACAGACTTCCTCATGAAATTAAAATGATTAAGTGTTTGGATAAATTTAAAAAAGCTATTAAAACATTTCTGTTTAATGAAGCTTTTTGTAATCATTAACTTAGATATATTACATTAAAATAATTTATTCTTATGTATTTTTAGCTACCATTACTATTGCAAATTTTTATTTAGATATATAAGGTTTTTAATTTTTATTCAGTGTAAAGCACTATTGATCTGTACATGTAAATAGGGCTATACAACTAATTAAAATTTATTTATTTATTTATTATTTATTTAAGAGCCAACTCACCAGCAAGGAAAATCCCGCGTCAGGTAATTTTTTTTTTATGTGTGAAGCAGACGGTCAGGCTCCCGTGAGGGCGGTGCAATACCTGCCGACCATAATGCCTACTCCAACCCATGGCTACAGTGCAAGGCCTTAGGGTTGGGACCGCAACAAACGAGGGACACCAGTCGCCAACTTCGCTGGGGAATCGAACCCCACCTCACCAAAAAATTACACACTCACTCCCAGAAATTAAACACACCCACACATACCTTATCTTAACAAATACTATATTTATGTCTAAATAATTACAATTACTTAAAGAGGGAACCTATCGGCAACGAAGGCAACAGCCAGTCCGATTAAGTCGTCTCTATCGCGAAGACCTCGGAATCTAGGGTCAGAAACCCACTGGTGATAGACATTGCGCTGGTCAGGTGGCAATCGATAGTTGAGTCCAATATCCCACATGATACTGATGTGATCACTTGACAAAGCGCTGAGCTCAGGGACTTCACAAAGAACGTTTGGGTTAACACTGTGAGCGTCCAGTTTAGGCCCAATTTTCGCGGTCTTAGCGGCTGCACCAGCACCTTTGGAACGAGTGTGCTGAGGTTTCTTCGAGATGCCACCAGAAGCAGGGGCCAGAGCATCCCTCCTTGCGCGTCTACGGGAAGTAGGTCTCGAATCACTGCCAGGGACGATCGGCTTGACATGAGCGGAACTGTCGTCATCGATTTCCTCAGTCATTTCAGACTCAACAATCTGGTCCCATGGTTGATCACTGTTGTTACTATTAACTAATTTATTGGTTCCTAAGTTATTGTTTTCTTTAGCAGTATTATTATTGTCTTCTTTAGCAGTATTATTATTGTCATTAACTAAATCTTTACTGGCAAAGCCAGCGTCACCCGAGATAACACTCACGGAAAGCGAGGCATCAGCACTGTCAACCGCATCCAGAGAGGTAAACCTTTCCTCACTCGCCTCAGAACATGAAGGAGAGTTGACTTCGTCAACAATGGGCGAAGGCCCAACAGTCGCAGACTCAAGCTCAGAAGTAGGCTGAATAGTTTCAGAGACCGAAGGCACATCAACAGCCTCAGCAGGAGGTCCCACGGTCGCCTTACAGTTCCTAGAAAGGTGCCCAGCTGCACCACAAGAGAAACATTTACCCTTAGAGGGACAGTGAACAGCTCTGTGTCCCACTTTGCGACACATGTCGCACCTTAGGGGTTGCCCCCTGTACCAGGCTTTGCAGCGCACCCCACGAATTGAAACAAAGTGGGGAGTCTCCTTGTTCACCACCATCTGTACTAGCCGGGACCCAGTAGACACGGAGGGCCTACCAGGCCAAACCTGATGTCGAACCGATTTGACAGTACCATAGCTGGACAAAGCTG